ATTTTTGACGTTGCCGAAAAAATTTCTTTAGGGAGGAGGGGGGGGGTACACCTCTGTATCATAAGGCATGTCATTGAGTCAACTGGCGTGGTTTCGATTCCCCGGTTGTACGTGACAAGGAGCTCCTGTCCAACCTCCTGGGTTTTCTCCGGATCTTCCGGTTTCCTCCCACTGCTAAAGACCCCTACGCGCAAGCGAAAAAATAAAATTAAACCATATGTTATTTCCGAAATGACCTAGTTTGTGTCGAGTGGACGTTAAACCTCTCTCTCTCTCGCTCTCTCTCTCTCTCTAAATGGAATATTAGTCCATACAATGGTTCAATTCCGTTTACTATTTACACAGGCATGGTGGATTGACCATTTTCTAAAAGCCAGCCTCCCTCTGTAATATTCGATATAATCTGTTGATTGGCCTCTTTTTAATCCAGTAGGACTTTAAACTCATTTCATTTCATTGCTTTTCTCATTAATCCGGGGGGTCTGTTCACTGGCCTCTTTTTAATCCAGCAGGACTTTAAACCCATTTCATTGCTTTTCTCATTAATCCCGGGGGTGGGGGGGTAGCGCATGCGCGTTGTATCATCAGGTCTGCCGCTGAGTCAACTGGCGTTGTTTCGATTCCCCGTTTGTACGTGACAAGGAGTAGCGCCACCTGTCCTCCGGTTTCCTTCCACTACTAAAGACCTCTACGCTCAAAAGAGCTAGTGAAATAAAATATAACCATATGTTAGTCAAGAAATGACCTAATTTTAGGTCTCTCTCTCTCTCTCCTCTCTCTCTCGCTCTCTCTCTCTCTCTCTCTCTCGCTCTCATTAATCCGAATTGTCTACCCTTGATAGTTTTGTTTTCTTAATTAAATAATCAATGTTTTGATTACAGTTTAGCTTCGGATGATTATAAGAAGTAAAAAATTCAAATTTGTTTTTTTACAAAAATCCAAATAACACACCGACGGTTGGTTTTCGGGAATGTTTCTTTTATATTTTCTTTGTTCAACAGGAGATTTATGGATTTTGAAATTGTTTGCATAAGTGGCTCGTTTAAAGTCGTTGATGTGAAGTTTATCATGTACCGTCTCTGACATTGATATAATATACACACATACAAAATATATATTGGAACAGCCCCAGGCAATACAATTTATATAGCATATTATTTATACCTGTCTTTATTCTCTTGGTGGTAGAGTGTAAAATAATATAAAGGAATTTACCGTTTGTACTTTACACATGTCTAGATCTTGACAAGCAAATCAAATAGCTTAAGTTTTTGGGGGTTTTTTTGTTTTTGTTTTTGTTTTGGGGGTTTTTTGGGGTTATTTACCGGCGTGGTTCCCCCATGTCAGTGATGCAGGACTGAGGGCCGGGCGAGGAGAGCTGTCTAGTCGTTCGGGTGGGACGAAAAACCGAGGTCCCGTGTACACATTAGCATGCACGTAAAAGATCCCTTGACAGTTGGAATTCGATATAAGAGTAGGCTGTTGTGCCGTTGTCCTGGCAAAATTTCACTCATAGAACACTGTATGGATTACGTCCGTCTTCATTAGACGAGTTCGGAGCAGAACAGTAGGACGTTAAACCCCATTTCATTTCGTTTGATCATAAAGTCTGACATTGATTCAAGTGGCGTGGTTTCCATTCCCCGTTTGTAAGTGACACAAGGAGCAGGGTGCATCTAATCGTCATTTTAGATGGTTTTAATTCGTTGCTAACTACGATATTATGACTGTGAAATATCTGTAAGGAAGATCAGTCGAGAGAAAAGATGGCCATGCGATAAAGCCCATGGAAAGCTCTGTTCGCCTAGTGTTTATACTAATCTCAGACATCACGAATCCAATAGTCCTCAACATTTAGGTCTAGGTCAGGTGTTCACATTTGACTTTACTGGATAATCAACCACAAAAAATATACCAAACTCGCGGTTACGCATGGGTAATGGACCTTGTTAAAGGAGCTAAATCGCTAATATTTGGGACCTAGAAAGTGACAGAAATGGGTCGCGACGCATATAATAATGGAATCTGAATGTATACAAACTGATTTACATTCAGTCGTTTCCGTTTTCACTCTAGTTTCAAATCAGCTGTGTTCGGCGAAATACGCCTGAAGTCTCAATAGAATGACAATCTCTAGCGTCTGGTTATTCCAGTCTACATAGTATTTATTGCACATGCTCCGCAGATAAGAACATGGCCTCATCTTTCGACATTACCGGCATGACTTGTGGAATATGTCTCGCATCGTTCTTCGAGTCCCTTGTTACAAATGGGACTGAAACGCATTATGGTCTGGCGCTATTGTGTGTCACACATTGCAGCTCAGTGGTTCTGTTGGGGCGATAAGTTCTTCATCTGTGAACATACTCTCAAAGCATGTCAAGTGTCCATGACTATTTATCATATCACGACCTGCCTAGGTATTTGCATTTCAATATCCCCCACTTTTTTTTGAAGAGTATATATTGATAAATAATCCCCTCTGTAACACAAGCAAAGAAGTTTTTGTAAGCTAGAAATTAATTTGTATTAAAACCGGAAGTGATGTAGTTATTTCAACACGCTCACTGGTCTCTGTAGGAAACGTACATATTGGCGTATGTTTATCCATCTATTATGTTCACACATCGTCGTTTGAACGAGAATCCGACCAAAGGGACTGTTTATTGAGATATATATAAATATGAAATTATGTGTTTTCAAACGTTTAATACACAAATCCGCCGCGCAAATTCAGTCATACTGAACGTTACGCTGTGACCCATGTCACGTCAAATGGTTTGTTTGACAGCTTGCAAGTGACATCTATTTCATCTGCTTGGGGGTCTTTGTGCTCCGTGACAGTGTTTTTCAACATAAACAAACGACAATGTAAGACATATGATATAGTGCACGTTATGTTCCATTTGTTCCTGAGAGAGACAGACAGACAGAGAGAGAGAGAGACAGAGAAATGAAATGAAATAAAATGGGGTTTAACGTCCTACTGTTCTGCTCCTATACTGTTCTATCCTATACTCAATGTCAACCGACAACACTGCAATAATTGGCCGTGGCACTGCAAGAGGAATGGCTCAGATTGTCCCAAATAGTGATTGGACGATTGATTAAGAGCATGCCACGACGAATTGCTGAATGTCTGAGGATTGGTGGAGCAATTACTCATTATTAAGACAAAAATCAAAAACGTCCATTTTCACTTTTGACAGTGTATCTCTTTGTGAGTTAAATGGGGCATATGAACTGTTTATGTTCATGTGTAGGCAATTGACTTGTTATTAACATACACTGGTTACCCCTAATAAAAACAGCAGTGCATTTCCGCAGTTTTGTATTGTTTCTGAATATCCCCTACTTTTTTTGAAGAGTATATATTTATTTGAATAAATGGTTATATGTACCACAAGTCTATTGAAATTTATAAAACACAGTAAGCAGACTCAGCACGCACAAAAACATTTAAGCTGACGAAACATCTTTCACTTGCCGGGTGTCACACGTGTTTGACTTATAAATGTAGATTTTGACATAATAATATTAAAGACTGAATAATCTAGCCACTGACCTACTTATTCTTGATTGTTGACAGCCCATCCAGACTTATATTCGTATACATGCCTGGGACGTGGACATGATTTGTTTATCTTTGATAATATGAAATTAAATTAAATTAACGTTAAACACTATTGCTCTGCTCCGACTGGGCTAATAAAGACAGGTGTGCGCCATACAGTGTACTATACGGTAAACTTAAAACTTTGCCCGGACATCGGCGCTACGGTGTTACCTTATATCGAATTCCAGGCCCTCCGTCCTGCATCATTGACAGGGGGAAACCACAACGGAAAACCCCGATGAACGAAATTTGTCGGCCAACACCGGGATCGAATCCACGACCTCCAAGCTAGCCAGCCAGCGTCTTACTTTCATAGCCACCGTGGCTCCCTTTGATCCCATGGAATAAGAGACTGATTAAGAATTAAAGCTAAATTGCTCGTCATTTCAATTTAACGGTATACCCCCCGTAATTCTCCTCGGCACAAAAGAAGCTCTCGACGATTTGTCTTAAAAACATTTAGAATGTGTCAAATCGAGGTCCTACTTCTAGAGAGAGAGAGAGAAAGAGAGAGAGAGATAGAATGGGGTTTAACGTCCACTAGACACAAATCGGTCATAACATATTGCCCATTTTTATTTCAATAATTCGCTAGAGCTTAGGGGTCTTTAGCAGTGGGGACAAACCGGCGGACCCGGAGAGAGAGAGAGAGCGAGAGAGAAATGTGTTAAATACCATTCGGACATACCCCCCCCCCCCCCCATCAGGTTTTACAGGTGACCCTACTCCTTGTCACATACAAACGGGGAATCGACAACACTTCGTAATTCTGCTAGAATACCCACATTGTGAAAACTACTCCCCCATTTATCTCTCTGTCTCTCTCTCTCTCTCTCGCTGCTGACCCAACTGGGGACCCTATCAGACTCCTTGATCATCGCGAATACCAAGTTCGCGCTTTCCAGTTAAAAAGTCTACCTGTGATAATCGAGTTACAAAGTTCAAGGTTCGTTCAATGTCACGGTTTCCGTGGCGGTCGCCGTGTTTGATTTTCGTTTGTCATTATCGAGTTACAAAGTTCGAGGTTCGTTCAATGTCACGGTTTCCGTGGCGGTCGCCATGTTAGATGTGAATGTGTTTGTGTCACAGCCACTGATTGAACGCCATCGTTCACGTGTCTGCGTTAAAGGGAGATAACATAGCTTTAGCTTTTTGAATTGCAGACCAGTCTAGCAACGTCTAGATGTTGTAATAATAGCGGTCGTTGCTTCAGGAACATGGGGAACCCCGCGCTGTATTACCAGGAAGTGTCTTGCTGTCCAACACGGGGATCGAACCCTGTTGTGTATTACTCATTCATTAATAAAACAAGAAAACAAAAACAACCATGTCCTATAATAAATCATTATTTTAACTGTTTCATGACAACAATAATGTCACATAATAAAGTCATTAGTAAGTGACTACAAAACAACAATGTCCCATAATAAAATCATTATATTGAACTGTTTCATGACAACAATAATGTCCCACAATAAAGTCATTATTTGAAACTACTTAGTGACAACGAAACAACAATGTCCCATAATAAATTCATTATATTGAACTGTGCTGTGTTATAAAGTCATTATTTTAAACTGTTAGACAACAACAAACATTAATCAACAAGAATCGTGATCAAAGTAAACAATAGTAATTATAATAAAGGGCAGGTAACTCCATCGAGTAGCCATCTTTCCACTCTCCACAGCTTGCTATCATCTGTCAAATATACAAAACAGAAAACACGATAAGACATGTTGTAGATTCAGTTACTATATCGTAGTCATCATTAGACGGAACGGGTGGGGTGGGGATCTATCATTGGCCCCCGCTGAATATGAATACTAATGTACTAGTTAAAGCGAGAGATTTCATATTTTCTAAGAAAGTCAAAACATAATTATTTATGTTTCAATGGCATTTAGTAATTGAACTGGAGTTTTCAGGTCACAATTCTATGGAATACAATTACTGCTTATTACTGAGCGATGTTTCGACTAGTGCTAGTCATTATCAAGGGGGTCTTCCCATATCGCCGACTCACCGAGTTTTGGAAAGTCGACCGCGGCACCCTTTGATGGGATTAAAAAGGATTAAAAGCGTTAATGAGGCAGGGACCAGTCATTATTAATATAGTTCACTGAAATTGATTTTTATCAGAAGTCGACTCACTCACTAATTAATCAAATTAATTGGAAAAGCTCATCCTAATATTTTTGAAGTGATGGCATTTTTGCAAGAAGAGCAAAAGACGATTGAAATTCAGTTACTGCAGTATGCAAGTGGCCAGCGACAACCACCCAAAAAGAAAAAAATACACCGATATCAACAGGAAGATTGAAGATTCCAAGCATAGATATGAACAAGGAAGACTGAATTTATTAGAATTTTTGGACTATGTTGGACACTTTATGCGTGCAAAAATTTAAAATTGTGTTATGTTAGGTGTTAAAGATTGTTATAAATTAACAAAAATAAATTAATGCTCCCAAAATTATCTGCTTAATGAGGTTTATCCTTCAGCTTGGGTCTATTGTTCTTAGCCACTCATTCCCATAACGTCGACCAAATTTTTTCCCCTAAAACTCGATGAGTCGGCGATATGGGAATGAACCTTATCAAGCTAGGATAAAAAATGAAAATATGACAGGACTATATATACATGTACACAACAATACTTAATTAATGCTGACAAACCAGAGATCTCCCTTAATTACGTGTACCTAAAGGTAATCTAATTTAATAAAGGCTAATAGGAACATTCAATAATACCAATTAACCTAAACATTGACTAATTGATTACTGGATAAGTGTTGTGGGGTATGTAGATTTAGTTACTATAAATATGGTATTACTGTATAATCGAGATTAAACATATGTAGATTTAGTTACTATAAATATGGTATTACCGTTTAATCGAGACTAAACATATGTAGTTAGTTACTATGAATATGGTATTACTGTATGATCGAGACAAAATAGTAGAGTACTGTGTGATCGAGACTGAATTTATGTAAAATTACAAATGTTTGACAATTACATAGCTCTGTCAGGGGTAACCCACCAATCCTCAGACATTCAGTAATTCGTCGTGGCATGCTCCTAATCAACCGTCCAATCACGATTTTGGACAATCTGACTCACTCCTCTTGCGGTGCCACGGCCAATACTTGCCGTGTTGTCGGTTGACGTGTTGACAGGTTGACAGGTCTCCAGATCAAATTAAAAGTAACACGCTAAAGCAAAGATACGCTAAACAGTAAATCTTATGCAAGAACCGATAGGAAAGCAAACATGGATAGAAAAACCAGCACGCGGCAGTTTTCATCAACCCTTCCTTGAAGTGCCAAATTTGACAATGAACCCCTGCCACGTGTATGGCGCTATTGCGTGTCGCATGTGCAGCTCAGGGGTTCTGTTGGGGGGATAAGTTCTTCATCTGTGAACATACTCTCAAAGCATGTCAAGTGTCTATGACTATTTATCATATCACTACCTGCATAGGTATTTGCATTTCAATATCCCCTACTTTTTTTTAAAGAGTATATATATACCTACCGCTATAGTTTATCTACCACATACAGAGTTGATTTCTACATCTACCTTGACATCTTGAGCAGTGATTACCTTTAATGTAGGCCGGCTGTCGATATAAATTACCACTGTAACACAAGACAAATAAATAAAACAATTAGTATTCTACACGACATGACACGCAAAACAAAAACCTACAAGACAAACCTGCTGACAGGACAAACTACACGACACGACACGACACGACACGCAAAACAAAAACCTACAAGACAAAGCCTGCTGACAGGACAAACTACACGACACGACACGATACGACACGCAAAAAAAAAACCTACACGACAAACCTCCTGACAAGACAAAACCTACACGACAAACCTGCTGACAGGACAAAACCTACACGACAAACCTGCTGACAAGACCAGAAATAAGGGTGCCACAGTGGCTAAGTGGGTAAGACCCCTGCTCGGTAGCCTGAAGGTCGTGGGTTCGATCCCTGCATTGGCGGAGAAAGTTCATCGGGATTTTTCGACGTCGTTTCTACACAAAAATGAAATTAGCAAGTTTACATTTTTATTGGAAAGGTGATTACTTTCGATCAGTTTCAGCATGGTTTCATGGTACAAGAATGGCTGCGCATTCACTTTCAGTGCAAATGAATTTTGATTGTGTTTTTGGATCGCTAAATTCCTTTTGGCGAACAAAGAAGAATCACGGTGACAAAAAGACGGTAAGAATTCCCAAATAGCCTTAGAATCGAGATGGGGGGAAAGCCTTTTCATAGTACATGTGTATATGATCCGTCAGTAACGAAGGAGAGCAGTGAAATGGAATGGGGTTTAACGTCCTACTGTTCTGCTCCGAAATGGGCTAATGAAGACGGGCATACGCCATACAGTGTGCTATGAGGGAGGTTTCGCCCGGACAGCGGCACTACGGCCTACTCTTATATCGAATTTTAAGTGCACGCCAATGTGTACACGGGACCTCGGTTGTTCGTCCCATCCGAACGACTAGACAACTGCCATTGTCAGGCCCTCAGTCCTGCATCACTGACAAGGGAGAACCACGCCAGAAAATCTGAATGAACTTTCTCGGCCAATGCAGGGATCGAACACCCGACCTCCAGGCCAGCGAGCCAGCGTCTTACCCACTTAGCACCAGCTCTCTAAGAATTCGTTACTAAAGTAACTAGTCCGGTTGGTGCTGAATGTGAAGACGTTAAACCCAATTTCACTTCATTTCCATCGATTACTATATAAAGCCTAATACTTACTCTGGTGAGAATAAACAAACAACCAATTGATGTTTGGCGCAAATGTGTGATGCACAGCCAACTTGTCTAGTCGTAGCCCAGATCATCTGAAACATGAACGGTAATTAAAATAGTATAATAAAATAATATTGACTTCAACAGAGATAGTCTGGCCCCAAGTTCACAACCCAGGATGAATAGGATTAAACACCAATGCCCCGTGTACACATTTACGTGTAACTAAAACAACATTTGACAGTTGGAATTCGATAAATGTCCCCCATAGCACACTGTATGGCGCATGTCCGTCTTTAATAGCGAAATGGATGTTCCATAGCTTTTACAACGTTTGTTCCATAGCTTTTATAACGTATGTTCCATAACTTTTATAATGCATGTTACATAGCTTTTATAATGCATGTTACACAGCTTTTATAATGTATGTTACATATCTTTTATAATGCATGTTACATAGTTTTTATAATGCATGTTACATAGCTTTTATAATGTATGTTCCATAACTTTTATAATGCATGTTACATAGCTTTTATAACGTATGTTAGATAGCTTTTATAACGTATGTTACATAGCTTTTATAATGCATGTTCCATAGCTTTTATAATGCATGTGCCATAGTTTTATGACGTATGTGCCATAACTTTTATAACGTATGTTACATAGATTTTATAATGCATGTTCCATAGTTTTTATAACGTATGTTCCATAGCTTTTATAACGTAGGTTACATAGCTTTTATAACTTAGGTTACATAGCTTTTATAACGTAAGCTACATAGCTTTTATAACATAGCTTTTATAACCTATGTTCCATAGCTTTTATAATGTATGTTCCATAGCTTTTATAATGTATGTTCCATATCTTTTATAACGTATGTTACATAGCTTTTATAACGTATGTTACATAGCTTTTATAACGTATGTTCCATAGCATGCATAACGTATGTTATTGTTACATAGCTTTTATGACGTATGTTCCATAGCTTATATAACATACGTTCCATAACTTTTATAACGTATGTTCCATAGCTTTTATAACGTATGTTCCATAGCTTTTATAACATACGTTCCATAGCTTTTATAACGTATGTTCCATAGCTTTTATGATGTATGTTCCATAGCTTTTGTTCCATAGCTTTTATAATGTATGTTCCATAGCTTTTATAACGTATGTTACATAACTTTTATAATGCATGTTCCATCGCTTTTATAATGCATTTTCCATAGTTTTTATAATGCATGTTCTGTAGCTTTTATAATGCATGTTCCATAGCTTTTATAACGTATGTTACATTGATTGTACAAATAAATAAAGAGAAAAAGAAAGAAAGAAATCGAAAAAAGAAACTTTACACAATACCTGGCTGTAATTACAAGATTTAGTTGTTCTACAATCATATTCTCGTCTGAAAGTATTCTTTTCTCCGTACCATTCGTTCATAATGTAATCCACCAAATTGGTACCAACTATGTCATGGCGTACAACTATCAGACTCTCGCCCTGGGTGTCCTTAAGATGGTTAAATTGACAACTCCCACTTCTAGCGGCAGCGCGTCTTGCTAGTTCGTTACTCCATCTCTGATAAATCAAATAAAATATGTTTTTGTATTTTGTACTAATTAAAGCGATAATTTCATATTTTCTAAGAAAGTCAAAACATAATTATTTCGATGTCTTTTGCTCAATAGGTTGTCAACTCACTATTATACGGTCATAGGTTATCTTTCTCACGCTTAAAAATCTTCACACCGGAAATAATAACACAATTACCTCCCAATTACCTACCTTGTTTTCCTATTCCCCACCATGGAATAGTTATCTTCAAACGTTTGAATTTGAAGTTGAAAATGATATTTTTGTCAATTTCTCAACTGGCAATAGTGAATTATAGGTTTGGATTAATAGGATTATTCTTTAACAAGGTAGGACTGTTTATAGATACCATCTATTTTAGGGCTTTATTTTAATATATTTTAAAAATATAACTTAAAAATATGAAATTGTAACTTTAAATAATTATAAATTTAGTCAATATAGATCTTCTGGATGTTTCCTTCCGATCGGATGGGGAAATTAAACTCCTAGTATATCCCGCCTAAGCTAACGTGTACTTCCGATGGGGAATTAAGCTCTGTAGTAAATCTCACAAAAGGTGCCCATCGGATGTGAAATTAAATTCCAAATACATCCCACCAAAGCTAAGATGTACTCCCGATCGGATAGGGAAATAAACTCATATTATATCCCACAAAAGATAGGATTTGATTCTGATCGAATGGGGAAATTGAATTTCTAGTGTATATCCCACAAAATCTAGGATGTGATTCCGATCAGATGAAGAAATTAAACTCCTAGTACATCCCACCAAAGCTAAGATGTACTCCCGATCGGATGTGCCTTATTGACTGCCTAAATAGCAAACGACCTGACATTACCAAAATACACAAGTATCCAAATATTCATTTATTTCAATTAACACCACATTAGTATCTGATTATTAATAAAAAGCAGTTCCCGTGCTTTCGATTGGGGAATTTGTGCGGATTTTGTTCATTGATATACTTTTCAATCATTGATTTTTGACTCTTTATGGTCGGAAGATACAACTAGATGGTTTTTTAGGGGGTGGGGGTTTAATGAGCACGCTTTAGATCATAACGTCTGTCATTTAATCAAGTGGGTGTTTCCTAACCCACGCCTGTACGTGCAAGCAGTAGGGTCGCCTGTGTAGCCTCGTGGGTTTTATCCGAGGTCTCCGATTTACGCCCATCTCTCTTTCCCGCGCGGTTCCCCCTGTCAGTCGTGTAGGACAGAGGGCCTGGAAAAAAACACGGTGTAGTCGTTCGCATGGGACAAAAAACGTGCACGTTCTAGAATTCAGAATATGAATGAGAGTAGGCGGTAGTACTGCTGACCGGGAAAAATTTCCCTAACAGTACACTGTGCTGCGTATGCTTGTCTTCATTATCCCGGTCTGAGAAGAACACACTCTTCTACAGCAAGTTGCGCAAAATCCCCCGCAACCCCCTGACACACCTAAAAACAATAATAACCCAAACATACCATCTCCATCATGTTGCTGGCATCCACTTCTGCTCTATATTTGTTGATAAACTGCATCAGTTTCATAACAGTGGGAGCAGAGAGATAATTTGGTGGAGGTGCTTGGGGATTCCTTCTCGGGAAGAGCTGTTGTGTATTTGGTCGTCGTCGTTGTAGTGGTTGTTGATTATAGTTCGTCCTCCTTTGTCCCTGGCCGTTTGTCAGAAACCTGCGATTACCTCTAGCAGTGGATGTATTTGGGGTGAACGATCTTCGTTGAAAGTTAGAACTCCACGGGTCGTGGCGGTTATTTGTCATAATCCTATTGCCCCAGTTGCTGTTCCTGACCATACCATTCGTAGATGCAGGGTACTGTTGTTGGCAGAGATTTAAATGTACCAAAGTACAAAACAAAATTATCCGCACAGACAACATTTTCAGACAGTCTGTTCTCGTCAGGTACAGTTGATTCTTGTGACACAGGTCTTCCTCTTACTGCCTAATTTCATAATGTTGACAACAATATAAATTAACCCACGTTAATCAATCAAATATCCAACCATGATATGTTTTTTTACCGTACAAGTTAAGCTTAATAGTTCCCCGAAATAGTAAACCTCATCATCATCAATCACTATTTCAGGGCGGGGAATTTTCTGACGTGGGAATCATTCCAAGCATTGTTCTCGCAGGCATAATTGGTTTGTTTTTTTGTTTTTTTTAAAAGTGAGACAGTGTTCTTTTTAAACAATAATGTGACTCATTAAATTAATCAATCATAAAGTAGGATGACTTTGTCTTATGTAAACTTAATAGATTGGTAATTTATGTTTTGTCTTGAACGAACTACCATAATCTCAAAGAGTATATTACCTCCAAGGAGGTAGGGTGGTCGAATATATCTTTGTCTTTAATGTACTGCCGTGATTTCAAAGGGTACAGTTACACCAAGGAGGTAGGGTGGTCGATTGACGACGATATCACCCCTGGTGGAAGTGGACGTAAAAGTCAAGTATAAGATCAAGTGCGTCATTGAGAGTCAAGAAGCGTGCGTGTCAAGGAGTAGCGTCACCTGCTCGACCTCATGGGTGTTCTCCTTGTTCTCTGGTTTCCTCTCAAGACTTAAAAAAACCAACGCGCAAGCGCATGGTAAAATAAAACTGTACCATATGTTAGTACTGCAATGAACTTGTGTTACACAATTGACAATATTTAGGAAATATCACTTAATTCCCCTCCATACATGAAATTGATTAACAATCTTATCAGATGACTCATAGATGGTCGACATTGGCACTAGCTTGACACGACTAACAGCCACGCGGAAGTCGTTAGTGGAGTCAGTAATCATCACAGCTGACCTGAGTTACGCAAGGTTCTCTGTATGGTATTAGCAATCTTATCAGATGACTCACAGATGGTCTACATTGGCACTAGCTTGACACGACCAACGGTCCCGCGGAAGTCGTTAGTGAAGTCACAGCTGACCTGAGTTACGCAAGGTCCTCTGTCTGGTAATGCAATCGGTATTGATGAATTAAAGTTACAATTCCATATTTTCTAAGAAAGTCAAAACATAATTATTGCTATGTCTTTTGCTCAATAGGTTGTCAACTCACTATTATACGATCATAGGTTATCTTTCTCACGCTTAAAAATCTTCACACCGGAAATAATAACACAATTACCTTCCAATTACCTCCCTTGTTTTCCTATTCCCCACTATGGAATAGTTATCTTCAAACGTTTGAATTTGAAGTTGAAAATGATATTTTTGCCAATTTCTCAACTGGCAATAGTGAATTATACGATTAATAGGATTATTCTTTAACAAGGTAGGACTGTTTATATTTTAGGGCTTTATTTTAAAACATTTTAAAAACATAATTTAAAAATATGAAATTGTAACTTTAATCTAGCAATAGCCAGGTGTTTAATCGTGTGAGATACTTTATCTAGAAAGTCCAACCTCGTGGGTTTTCTACTGGTCCGCCGGTTTCCTCCCACTGCTAAAGAACCCTACGCGCAAGCGAACTATTGAAATAAAATTAAACCATTTGTTAGTCCCGAAATGACCTAGTTTGTGTCGAGTGAACGTTAAACCCCCCTCTCTCTCTCTCTCTCTCTCTCTCTCTCTCTCTCTCCTTTATCTAGAAAGGCATTATAAGCAAGAATTATTCAGACTAGACGAGGGCGTCTAGAAGTTAACTTGGGACCAGGTAGATCTCTAGGGCAGCGGCCATGTAAGTTAGTTGGGAGTTGGCACCCAATGGTGGCAAGCCAAGCTAGGACCATGGCTCCCTCAACACAAGCTAATTACGAAGTGTTAAGTTTTGTAGATGATATGTTTAAAGGGGAATACAAGCTAATTACGAAGTGTTAAGTTTTGTAGATGATATGTTTAAAGGGGAATAAAAGTATTATATGAATTTAAACCAGTGTTGTCATCAAGAACCTGACTTAAAGACTCAAAAGTGTAACACTGGATTGTGTAGAGTGGAGGTAAAACTACCTTCCTCTCTCGGGCGCGATCTCCTCGCCCACACGCCATCTTCTCAGCGGCCCAGATTAGGCGCTACCCAGGAACAACAACTGGGCTCTGTGACGCAAAAGGAACAATTGCGTCATTAATGAAGGAAACGATGGCGGTAAATTTCTTATTCGCTTCTCTTTCTGTAGTCTCGGTCACCCAGAGCACCCTAGTCTTCAACGCACATAGGGTCTGGGACCATTGTCAATATTTGACGAAAAGTCTATTGCCCACACGTAACTGGTTTTTTTAAATGTGGTTGATTATCCAGTATCTTCTGGCCAAGTCAAGTAAGAGTTGTGCCCCTTCCCGCAATAAATCCCATAATTCTTGCATCAATATAAACAAACATGAATTGTGACGACGAATTAGGATACCTCCCTCAGACTTTGTTTATGATAATGCAAAAGACCGGATAATCTAGCCAGGGTTTTAATGTTTGTATAATAAATGGAAGAAATTCCCATTAAATCAATCCTTTATGGGAGATTAGATAAATAGCCTAGCTGGCAGTTCTCACTATATAGTTAAAAAATATATATTGTAACGGGAATGGGCTGAAAATTTCAATCAAATTGATCCACAATGAACAACCGAGGTTTAGCGATTGAATTTTCCGCCTAGCCTCGATCATCGTTACTAAAGTCGGTAGGATATAAAACATAGTCTCGATTATCCATTTAATAATTAAATTATGAATGGAAGTCGGACAGCAAATCGGAACCTAATCCAATAAACATCGCAGGCTAGCGATGCCATTAAGAGTTAATTATGTTCTGGATAAGTTAATTAATGTTTAATTAATAATTTAGATAACATTTCAGGCCTAAAGAAAGACCTGCAATAGGCAGATTTAGCTCTTGCATAATGTATGTTGAAGTCAATCCTTGGAGATTGGCCGCAAATGGAAAGACTATCGAATCTTGTTCTAAGATACACTACCATGTTTTTACTTCTCTTAGTTCTGATTTTGGGGAGGGGGGCGAATGGTTAGAGGGTGCGCGCTGTATCATAAGGCCTGTCATTGCGCCAACTGGCGTGGTTTCGATTCCCCGGTTGTACGTGACAAGGAGTAGGGTCGCCTGTCCAACCTCGTGGGTTTTCTCCGGGTCCCCCGGTTTCCTCCCACTGCTAAAGACCCCTACGCGCAAGCGAATTATTGAAATAAAATTGAACCAGATGTTAGTCCCGAAATGACCTAGTTTATCTCGAGTGGACGTTAATCTCTCTCTCTCTCTTCTCTCTCTCTCCCTCTCTCTAATAATTTGTATAACAACACCATTAAAACAATGGGAAGTCATATGAAATAAGGTCGTCAATGTGGAAGAGTTTTGAATTATTCATTACCAAGTTCTTTTTGTTCCCTTTTTTTTTTAAATGTAAAAGTTTGACAACGGCTTGTCAATTTCAGTCGATTTTTTTATTTTCTATTTTCATTCAAAGTCTTAAGGTAAATGACCTGCTTTTTTTATCCAAAAATATCTCCATGCGAAATTGTTTTTACCTTTTTGCGTTAAATTAACGTCACTATTACGTCACGGGAAATGAAAATAAAATAGCGTATGGCATACTTACTTCATCAACTAATATATTTTCGGATATACTCCAATCTAATGACCAGACGTATCAATAACTCTTAATATCTATTTTAATTTCATAAAGCCTAAATAGGTTGTAGACCTCGAATTGCTGCCCCTCCCAATGTCATAGTAATGAGAGGGAGAGAGAGAGAGAGAGAGAGAGAGATCAATAAATCTTAATATCTATTTTAGTACATTAAACCTTACCCTAATTTTATAAAAAGGGTGTACACCTCGGGGAGAGAGAGAAAGAGAGAGAGAGAGAGAGAGATTAACGTCCACTCAAGACAAACCTTACCCTAATTTTATAAAAAGGGTGTACACCTCGGGGAGAGAGAGAAAGAGAGAGAGAGAGAGAGAGAGAGGGAGATTAACGTCCACTCGGGACAAACCTTACCCTAATTTTATAAAAAGGGTGTACACCTCGGGGAGAGAGAGAAAGAGAGAGAGAGAGAGAGATTAACGTCCACTCGGGACAAACCTTACCCTAATTTTATAAAAAGGGTGTACACCTCGGGGAGAGAGAGAAAGAGAGAGTATGAGAGAGAGGGGGAGAGAGGGGGGGGCTAGCATAATGGTTCAATAATTCGCTTGCGCGTAGGGGTCTTTACCAGTGGGAGGAAACCGGAGGACCCAGAGAAAACCCACGAGGTTTAACAGGCGACCCTAGTCCTTGTCACGTACAACCGGGGATCCCTTGTAAAATAAATGTCGCCCATAAAAACAAGAGATATGCATTGTCCGTCAATTTTACAGCACCCCTGGGAACACTCCCCCACCCCCCTCGTTGCTCTGAGCTAGTTATGGCCCTGTCCACAGAAGTTACGAAAGTCTTCAAATCACTCTGGGGATCACGTGGCTAATTGGGTAAGACGCTGGCTCGCTAGCCTGGAGGTCGGGTGTTCGATCCTTGCATTAGCCGAGAAAGTTCATCCAGATTTTCCGACGTGGTTTCCCCTTGTCAGTGATGCAGGACGCAGGGCCTGACAAGGACAGCTGTCTAGTCATTCGGATGGGACGAAAAACCGAGGTCCCGTGTACAAATTGGCGTGCACGTAAAAGATCACTTGGCAGTTGGAATTCGATATAAGAGTAGGCCGTAGCGCCGCTGCCCGGGCAAAATTTCCCTCATAGCACACTGTATGGTGTATGCCCGTCTTCATTAGCCCAGTTTAGGAGCAAAACATTAGGACGTTAAACCCTATTTCGTTTCATTTCATTTCATTTCAAATCACTCTGTAAAAGATGACTGCTTTCAACATATGACGTCACACCACACGGCGATATTCAGATCGAATTTGAAATAAGAGTAGACCGGCGTGCCGGTGTCCGGACAAAATTTCCCTCACAGCATACTGTAAGCCAGTCTCCATTATCCACGTCGGTGTAGAACAGTAGGACGTTAAACCCGTTTCATCTCATACCTTGGTATGTTCCTCAAGGTTAGGCAGGACCCCCACCCCCTCCCGCCCCCCAGTCAGAACCAGTTTACATATTCATGATTACAGAATGATTGGCAGCTGTCAGTTAGGGTTTCCTATAGCAATTGCCCGGAAATCAAGTAGGACGGACGGCACGGAAAGGAAATGAGTCAGTACAGTAATCGAACCTAAACTGTCTTATCTTTGGAATAAGGGGCCACAGTGACGCGGTGAGTAAGCACTGTCTGTTCGATCCCTGCGTTGGCCAAGAAAGTTCATCGGTAATTTCGGCATGGCTCCACCTTGTCAGTGGTGCAGGCCTGAGCTGGGACGAAAAACCGAGGTAGGCCTACACATTGGCCTTGCACGTAATTCGATATAAGCTGCCCGGGTGACACTTCCCTCATACATAGCACACTGATTGGCGCATGTCCGACTTCATTAACCCAGTTGGAACAGAACAGTAGGACGTTAAACCCCGTTTCTTTGGAATAATCCCATTGGTCTCTATTACTTGATACTTTATCATAGCGAATACAAAATGGTGGATTGCGGGGATCGCCATTTTGATCGATCATGTGGTCACCTAAACATGCGCATGGATCATACAATGACAAGAAGTTTATGGTCGTGATGGAATAGGAAGCCGAACCCGATAACGCCTTACAGTAATTTAAACAGACTTTAAAGAAATTATAAAACAAGGGGAAATAATTCAATCCGTTTATTTCATAACAATTAAATTGGTGTTAAAAGAATACTGCAATTTACCTGAAAAATATAGTTGCAGAAATATATAAATACTATAGTATTATGGTTAGTGCTAAATGATAAGGCCAGCTCAATTTTTCGTCATAGGTCACAAGAAGCAAACAGCGTTAGCGATAATCCCAACCCTAACCCTAACCCTGGACCTATCCCCAATGCTTACCCTAACCAAACAATCACATGGCTTAACCTTATTTACATCTCAGCGACCTTGATAAAAATTGAGCTGCTGGCCTTAACAAATAAATTTAGTGAATCAGCAAGACGTTGGCTCGCTAAACTGGGGTCTCGTTGACCGTGAAAGTTCATCGAGATTTTCAAACGTTGTTCCCCTTTGTCAATGATGCTGGACGGGCGGCCTGAGGTCACTTCGGCGTGTGCTTAGTCTAAAAGAAACCCTTGACGGTTGGAATTCAATGGGTGTCATTATGGACGTCTCCCATACCACGAGAGGGTTGGATGGCCGAATGGTTAGCGCACAAGCGAATTATTGAAATAAAACTGAACCATATGTTAGACCCGAATACTGTAAATAATACATACCAATAGCATAGATTGTTTTCACATCGACCATTACATCCTGAACATGGTGTACCTTGCTGATAAGGGCTTACACCCCTGATATTACCACTGAAAAAAAGACGAGATCTATTGTCAGGCATTGTTCCATTCAATATCTAATACTCAGATTGACTGTATTCCATCGGATTAAAAAAATGCCCATCAACAGACTTTACTCTGACGCTGGATTGTTTATATTGGCTGCAGAGGGGTTTTTTGGGGGGGTTTTCTTTTTTTTTAGATTTATTCAAAAATATAACATACAGGCACATCATACAGTATATTACATTATAGGGTTTATCATTACATCATCTGTACATATAATTATGTCATACAATTTCAAAATCATTTATTTAACATTCATTTATTATTGCCAGTACATGTTGATCTTTAGCATTGTGTGCAGGGGTTACGTTATTACTATTATTCTTAAAGTGTACTGTTTTATTGTTACGTGTAATTGTATTTAGCTTGGCTTTCCCCCCAAGATATAAACAACCGTTTTAGATCCAACATTCACAATAGTGTAGCCTAAAACGGTGACCCCAGATAAGTGAATTCAAAGAAATGAAATGAAATGAAATGGGTTTTTAACGTCCTACTGTTCTGCTCCTAAACTGGGTTAATGAAGACGGGCATACGCCATACAGTGTGCTATGAGGGAAATTTTGCCCGGGCAGCGGCGCTACAGCCTACTCTTATATCGAATTCCAACTGCCAAGGGATCATTTACGTGCACGCCATTTTATATACACGAGACCTCGGTTTTTCGTCTCATCCGAGCGACTAGACAGCTTTCCTTGTCAGGCCCTCTGCCCTGCATCACTGACAAGGGTAAACCACGCCGGAAAATCTGGATGAATGAATTCAAAGAAGCAGGTGTAATTTTAAAAAAAAGAAAAAAAGTGTTAATCAAAGAAAAATCCTATATGGTCATGTCCCTACACTATACAACTTGCATCACGACTAATTAAATTAACCGCAATCTCGCAGTTATTCATTTAAATTTGATGATGATGGCGACGATGGCGACGACTACGACGAAGATTACGATGATGATGGTGAAGATTACGGTGACGACGACGATGATTACGAAGATGATAATTACGACGATTACGGTGACTACGACGATGATTACGATGATAATGATGATTATGACGATGGTGATTATGATGATGACTACGATGATGATGATCATGATGATGATGACGACGACGACGATGATGATGATTGTAACTTACGGTGGAGAGTAAAAACAGACAAGGTAGTACATATCCGGACAGACATGCGCAGCGCACCCAACTTCTGTTGTTGTAGACCAGATCATCTGTTATAATAGATAAAGATACATTACGTAAGATTTAGATAAAGAGCTAACCGTTCTTGCTATAATCGTTGAAAAAAATAGATAATGCAAAAGCCAAAATGCAACTTGGAAAGTAGAAATTAGGAAATTAACACATCGAGATATTAGTGCATATCATTTTGACTTCCTTTCGACATTTTGAGTTTCGCCTCAGAAGTTAGTGTTGTCTGTACGTTCCATTGAATACGCGCAATGATAGTTGAATTTTGTTAAAGGACAATATTGGTGCCAGTCATTATCACATATGTGATAGAGCTGGTTAAACACATTCCAAATATAATTTTATCTCAGAGATCATAGCTCTATCACATATGTGATAATGACTGGCACCAATATTGTCCTTTAACCATGGCTTCATACGGCATGTAAAATATACCTGGAGTGTACAGACTACAACAACTTCCGAGGCGAAACTCCAAAAGTCGACACAACGCTAAAAGGTTAGATCTATTTAATAAGGCCAAATTCAAGTTTGGTCAAAGGTCACGAGATGTAAACAGGGCTAGCGCTAATCCCAATCCAACCCTAACCCTGGACCTAGCCCTAACACTTGCGGTAATCTTAACCTACAATCTCGCCAACAATCACATGCTCTAACCTTATTTACATCTCAACGACCTTGACGAAAATTGACTTGGCCTTAACAAATAGATCTAGCCGACGTAATACCTGTGTATAGTGACAACTTCCGGTGGGCATACAATCCTTGCCATCCCATTGATATTTCTCGTCATACCAGCCTTTTAAACCATAGTCTATCAACATCTTTAACGTTAACCCAGTGCCGGAAATCATAGCAAGATTCTCTCCACGACCTTCCATCTGGTGACCCCATTGGCATTGTTTAGCCCAATCCAACGATTCATCCGCCAGCTGATTATTCCATTTCTACAAAATTTTAAAGTATTGGTTAGATGAATATCCAACAACATTAGAATTGTGACACTGTGTTAAGCCGTTAGCCAAACACTAATTACTGTGAATTATTTTGACAAACTTGATATAAAGAGAGGGAGAGAGAGAGAGAGAGAGAGGGGGGGTGTTTAACGTCCACTCGACACAAACTAGGTCATTTCGGGACTAACACATGGTTCAATTTTATTTCAATAATTCGCTTGCGCGTAGGGGTCTTTAGCAGTGGGAGGAAACCGGAGGACCCGGAGAAAACACACGAGGTTGGACAGGCGACCCTACTCCTTGTCACGTACAACAGGGGATTCGAAACCACGCCAGTCGACTCAATGACAGACTTTATGATACAGCGCGCGCGCGCTAACCATTCAGCCCCCCCCCACCCCAAACTTGATATAAATAGCTAATTAAATATTGAGAAATCCCTTTTATATGGCATTTAAAATATACGCCTTCTTATATTATCAGCTTATTAGCACATGGCATTTCTTCGTTTTGTTGTGAATTTCCCGGTAGTTCTAATTTTTACAGCAGAATAAAAAAAAATACGCGGGGAATACAAATAAAGGAACCCCGATCATCAAGTCGCATTATCCCTAATTTTTTTTTTTTTTTTTTTTTTTTTTTTTTTTTTTTTTTTTTTTTTTTTTTGCGGCGTTCGCCATTCGCCGTTTTAGGAGAATCACAGACACCGCTTCTCAAGTTGCGTTATTCCTATCTATTTGGCGTTCGCCACTCGCCGTTTTAGGAGAATCGCGTGTTAATTATATTACGTATCAAACACGCACGAACGTAGATAAACATGAAGATAAATCAAATGTAACACAATAATACTATAGTATATTGTTTAAACAACATGGTTGATGGATAGACAAACTTCTCAAACAGGGGAGTTAATTTATTCTTCTAGTCTGTCATCATTTGTAAAGGGCGCACTCTTAATTACTTCAGTGACACGCAGAAGTTATTAAAAAAAACAAAGAAGTAGTTATATCAATATGTTTATTGATTTTAAATGACTATAAAAGTAAAAAATAACAGAGAGGTAATTATATCCATACCGTAACGCTGATATCGTTGACTAAGAAACAAATAACTGTTATAAATATGACACTAATAGATCAAAGTCGTCAGTTTATATACATAATGTGTATTAGTTTTTTTAAAATTATTAGTAATCGGGCAGTAGTTATTAAGTAGGTGTTTTGTCACTATGGTGTTAAAACTGTGACTATAATATACACCACTATTATCCAAGTTTGTGTATTCATGAGTGATGGGTGTTATAAATAGTCACGATTTTACACAAGTAGTAAATTACAGCTAGTTACACAACTGCTAATTAATGACAACTGTATAATTTCTAACCACTTTCTATACATACTAAACATTAGTTTAGAATACTGAACATTTATATGATTTAAAGTAGCTAAGGCTCTAACTCAATATCATCCAAAGGCTTCGACATTGAAAACACGAATTATTTGCCACAGGCGACCCAATTCCTTGTCACGTACAGCCAGAGGGTCGAAACAACGGCAGTTGACTCAATGACAAACCATTCAGCCATCCAACACCACTACAATGGCTGGTATCTATGGCGGTATGTTAGATTTAAAATTGTAAATTTGTTAAGGTCGTGGCGTCGTCCAACTTCTATCCAGGTAATTTCTAATCTCTTAATCTCTGAATGGAGATATCAATGCAATGTTCCCGATATGGTGCTCACTCATTAAATTGTACAAACATTGGCGACACAAGACGATCTCATGATGAGAGAGAGGGAAATGGGGTTTAACGTCCACTCGACACAACTAGGTCATTTCGGGACTGACATATGGTTTAATTTTATTTACATAATTCGCTTGCGCGTAGGGGTCTTTAGCAGTGGGAGGAAACCGGAGGACCCGGAGAAAACCCACGAGGATGGACAGGCGACCATACTCCTTGTCACGTACAACCGGGGATTCGAAACCACGCCAGTTGACTCAATGACAGGCGTTATGATACAGCACGCACGTGCTAACCATTCGGCCATCCAAACCCCCATCTCATGATGGTGGTTGCAAGATAGAAGATTTGCCCACGAGGTTTCACCTTATCAGTGGTGCAGGAATGAGGACAGGACACGGACAACTGTCTAGTCGTTCGGATGGAACGAAAACCCGAGGTTCCGTGTATACATTGACGTACACGTAAAATATCCCATGGCAGTTGGAATTCGATATAATAGTAGGCCATAGTTTCGCTGCTCGGTCAAAATAGCACATTGTATGGCGTATGCTCGTCTTCATTAGCCTGGTCGGAGCAGACCAGTAGGACGTTAAACCCCATTTCATTTCATTTCCAAATCCCTAATCAAACGAAACACTACCAGGAGTGGGGTGAAGACTGGCTTACGCCATACTGTGTACGGTACTATGACAGTGGCGATACGGCTTGCTCTTATATCGAATTGCAACTGTCAAGGGATCTTTTACGTCCACGCCAACGATTAACTAATCCAACCAATTTGAATTTATTGAATTACAATGAAAATACTTACCAAAGCATACATATCAGCGGCCCGTAACTCTCCTCTGTATTGGTTGTGCGAATCCAGAAGCAACTGTTTAAAATGCAATGATAATCCATGTGAAGTAGGGCCTTGTTGTGGGTTTGCATGCTGTGGGTTAAGATACGGCTGTTGTCTTGGAATATATCTCCGAACTTGTTGTTGTCGGACAACTGGCGTTGTAGGCCTCCTCCAGCGACGTACTGGTCGTCTTGTGCCGCTAGTTAACTGCGAAGTTAAAGTTTGGTGTCCACCACTTTGAAATAACCGTCTTAATCTTGCGAATACCGCAGGGTCATTTGTTTGAATGGTATATGATACTTGTCCCTGTGAGTGAACTCTGACGGACAACACACACACCGCTAGTAGTAGTAATAATCCCAAGTATCCCATATCAACCAATAATCCTATTTTGTTTTAAAATGTTTTCTGTGGATGAAGCTTTGTTGTCCTTCATATAATAGGATGTAATGATATGTAAAGTAAAAGACAGGACATCTACCCGAGGCCATGTTTTATTTACACGTATATTCACCCTATTCAATCAATCAAATGTCTATCGAACAATAACGACATTTGTATTTTTATATGGTATTGTTCACCAAGTCGTCACAATTGTCATTACCGACTATAAATTCGGAAAAAATAAATGAAATAAAATAAAATGGGGATTAATGCCCTATTGTTCCTTTCTCTACCTACTCGGCTGATGAAGGAGGTAAACCTGTAACCCAATCGTTTTCCACAATTCTATGGTTTCGGGCGCCATTTGTAATAAATAAAGAAAACATATCCCAAAAGACAATGCGGAAATAATTAGTAATGGCTGATTCACCAACGACAAAATAATAATGAAAAAACGTGTAGATCGGACGGAGCAGGCATAAACGACTGTCGTTAAATTTTGACTCATGTTGACGTATTTTACCGAAACCGAACATAATTGTTTTCAAACAAACACAGTATTGTTTTCAAAAAAATATAAATCATTTTATATACATTCATATTGCATTAACATAAGCCTTTACACTGGTTGTCGTCGATTTTAATGTTTAAAAAATATAGAGCCATACGCCCTTAAACAGTTGGGTTCTAGCCAAATAGTAGTCTTAAAGAGAGAGAGAGAAATGGGGTTTAACGTCCACTCGACACAAACTAGGTCATTTCGGGACTAACATATGGTTTAATTTTATTTCAATAACTCGCTTGCGCGTAGGGGTCTTTAGCAGTGGGAGGAAACCGGAGGACCCGGAGAAAACCCACGAGGTTGGACAGGCGACCCTACTCCTTGTCATGTACAACCGGGGATTCGAAACCACGCCCGTTGACTCAATGACAGACCTTATGATACAGCGCGCACGTGCTAACCATACGGCCATCCAACCCTCAGATTGTCATAAAAGACACATACTCTAGTATTCTGATTGGGAAAGAAGTGAACTAGTATACCACGTATTATGCTTTAAGAAATAAGATGAAATGATCGGGATAATTAAAGATGCATTATGGAAGATTAGATAAAGAGTTGGTAGTTTTCACTATAATACTTAAAAACTAGATAATGTAAAGGGAATTTGCTGAAAATTTCAGTCAAATTGATTCACCCTGAACTGAGTATTTGGCGATTGAATTTTGGGCCTAGTCTCGATCATCATTACTTAAGTCTGTACGATAAACAAAAAAATAGTCTCGAATATCCATTTTTTGATTTAATCAGAAGCAGCAGACCGAGTTATAATCCAGTTAATATCGCAGGCTAGCGATGCCATCGAGAGTTGATTATGGTCTTGTTTTGTTAATTTAGCTCTTGCATAATGTATATTAAATACGTTTATGCGCGATTCAGTATGTTATTCAAGACCACTGACATGGCCCAGTGAATAAGGCGCTGGCTCACTAATCCAGGCGACCCGGGGTTTGGGATATCACCCAATCGAAACCACGCCAATCGACTCAATGACAGACCTTATGATACAACGTGCACGTGCTAACCATTCGGCCAACTCGCATCAGGTGGAGCTGTCTTTTCTCTTTAATTTGAACTGTTCACATATTTTACCAAACATGATTGATTAGAAATTACAATATTGTTTTCAGAAATTGAATATAAATCACTTTACATACATAAATATTACATTAATATGTGTTTTTAGAACCATTTTTGTCTATTTCAAGGTTCCAAAAAATAGAGCCAAACGCCCATTAATCACTAGTGACAATGTTTTAATCATCTTTTATTGAAAAAAACTAATCAAACTTTTAAATCTATTGGAGATAAGTGTCTGAACAACCAAGTCATATAAATTAGATTATAGTTTCATTATTTATTTTATCGTAAAGAATGCACATCGCCTTGTTCATTCCTTTTTAGTTGTACATTGATTTTAATGTGGTTGCTGGTTGAATAAATTCATATCCAGATTATATAGTTGTTCCTGAAATTCATATCCAGATTATATAGTTGTTCCTGTTTTATTGGAAGTAACCGTCTGGGTTACAATATTATAGGCCTAGACATGTAATGGATTTAACACTGAAGTGAATGGGGAGGGGTGGGAGTATACTAGTTACTATACATGTAACGTTAAACTGTGTGTTTAACGTTACAATTGATACAGTCTAAGACTCCTTACGCAAGTTCAAATAGGTTGAAACGCACAACTGTCAACACATATCATTACAGTTTGTATTGGAATAAGTAATTCTATGACAAACAGTGAAGACTGGACACTAAAATAGTTACCGAACAGTTTTTCTTTGTGGTTATGCATTCTACATTTGCATACCGATGTTTCTTGTAATGACGTATTACGCACTGGCCAGTTGAAATTTCGCGTAGCAGTTGGGTTTCATGAAATCATATAAATATGCTGTAAGGCTTCACCTTTATTTCAATGGGAATTGATTTATTATATGTTAAGCTATGTGCAGTACTGTTTTGGGTCAGTTTATGTGTAAATTAAGGGAGCTATAGGCCAGTAACCTTTTTGCAGTCATTTTACTAAAAAAAACTTGCGCAAAGGAACTCTGGCTTGAGTAAGGCGGACGACATCAGTAGTGGAACCATTTCTAGGAGTATACTAGCCCGAGTCCACCTCGCAAGAGACGAAGGTGTCCATTCTCTTTTTAAATAAACCCAGTGCCGTAGATGTGGTCGCAGTTGTCGCTCACACCTTTTTTTTATACGAAAATAGTTATGCCATTGGCAGGTATGCGGCGGGTGATTAGTTTATTGTTGGTTACCGAGAGAGAGAGAGAGAGATGGTGTTTATATGAAAATATTTATGTCTGGTAGGTATGCAGCAAGTGATTGTTTTAATGCTGATTACAGGGATGGTTAGAAATTGGTGTTCAGATCAACACGGTTTGAGTTGCCGTTCTGAGAGAGAGAGAGAGAGAGAGAGAGAGAGATGGGGTTTAACGTCCACTCGACACAAACTAGGTCATTTTAGGACTAACATATGGTTCAATTCTATTTCAATAATTCGCTTGCGCGTAGGGTCTTAAGTAGTGGGAGGAAACCGGAGGACCCGGAGAAAACTCACGAGGTTGGACAGGTGACCCACTCTTTGTCACGTACAGCCGGGAAATCGAAACTAACCAGCCGTTCTAAAGGAAAATTGAACCCAAAACTTATGAAATGTTTGGTGGCCGTGCTCAGTAGCCCGGTCGGTTCATAAAAAATGAAATGAAATGAAATGAAATGGGGTTTAACGTCCTACTGTTCTGCTGCTATGCTGGGCTAATGAAGACGGACATACGCCATACAGGGTGCTATGAGGGAAATTTTGCCCGGGCAGCGACACTATCGCCTACTCTTATATCGAATTCCAACTGCCAAGGGATCTTTTACGTGCATTCTAATGTATACACGGGACCTCGGTTTTTCGTATCATCCGAAGGACTAGACAGCTGTCCTTGTCAGGCCCTCCGTCCTGCATCACTGACAAGGGGGGACCACGCCGGAAAATCTCGATGAACTTTCTCGACCAATGCAGGGATCGAACACCCGACCTCCAGGCTAGCGAGCCAGCGTCTTACCCACTTAGCCACGTGATCCCCCAAAACTTATGAAATGATTAGTGGCCGTGTTCAGTAGCCCGGTCGGTTCATAAATGTAGGACGTTAATCCCCTTGTCATAATAACAGAACACAATTTCTATGGGAATACAATCACTAGTTTTATTCTAAAAGCACGACGTTTCGACAAGTATCCTCTTGTCGTTTTTATACTTGTCGAAACGTCGTGCTTTTAGAATAAAACCAGTGATTGTTTCCCATAAAAATTGTGTTCTGTGTACCCCAATCACTAAATGCCACTTAAAGATTACCCTTGTCATAAGTCGGTTCACCAATATTCCAGAATGCGGGATATCAAACAAATACTTGCGAAAGAAGGTGTAATCATATTTAATTAATGGTTAAAATTTCACACATAAACACATCCTCGTGAGATGGTCCTATATTGTACATCTTGCCGCCTGGGTAGATTATTACCACGTCCTCGGAATCCAGCATATTTGGTTCGTTTGGATGCCAGAATGTAGTGTTGATGGGCTCATTACGATTGCTGATCCATCGATACTCGGATTCCTGGTTTACAGCTCCTACAGGTACGTAACCACCTACCAGAAAATTGCCACCTGGAAAAAAGCAAGTGATATTTTGGTGGTTGTGTGATGGATCACGGGTAGATCTTTGGACCGTCAACTGCGAGGCGATAAGTTGCCGTCATAGGTTGCCGTCATCCCAATGCTTCTCGACGAATTTAAACTAAAAACATCCCTTATAAACAGGGGTATAACGTCCACTCGACACAAACAAACTAGGTTATTTCGGGACTAACATATGGTTCAATTTTATTTCCATAATTCGCTTTTGCGTAGGGGTCTTTACCAGCGGAAGGAAACCGGAGAAAACCCACGAGGTTGGACAGGCGACCCCACGCCTTGTCACGTACAACCGGGGAATCAAAACCACGCCAGTTGACTCAATGACAGACTTTATGATACAGCGTGCACGTGCTAACCATTCAGCCATCCACCCCCCTGATTTCACAAGGATTGAAAGGTCACGGAACGCTGATTAACGATAGGCGTCACAACAAATTCAAAATAAACTAGAACCCCGAAGGAGCACTAACGTGTTTCGGTACGTCAGGTCACGTCAGGTCACGCCTTGTCACGTCAACAATCAAGTTACACCATGTATTATTGAGTATAGTTACATCCAATACTTATTAAAGTGAGAAAATAAACTGTCTCTAAGAACTGTTGCCATTTGGGGTAGGTTCAAAGCAAAAAAATAGTTTTTGAAAATCGGGATCAAAAGCGGGGCTGAATATCGATTTGAAGGTGTTTTGTAAAATCCAAAATGGCGGCGAAAATGTTATCGAGCAAAGTCTCAGAAAATGAAAGATAATATCTGGGGCTAACCCTCTCCATATCTCCTTTTGTGTATTTTTTTTTTAAAATATAGAGAACCATTTATGTTCTGGGAAAAATCGGAATCATCGATACTTTCCGGAAGTTTCCGGAAGCCGTCACAAAAATGTTTAATATGTTATTTTGAAGGCATCAATGTGTTCCTTATTCCTATCAAGTTTCAACTGGGTACCCAATTACAAACGGAGACATGCCATCTTCAATTTCGAAAAAAATTTTGATGCTAAAATTAATCGAATGAACTTCCAAGATTATTTTTTGTCTCATCCGTAAAACACCTCCTGACTTGCGAAAAGAATGGCGTCTAGATCTAGTTCTCCGGGTTTCGTCAAGGTCGCTGAGATGTAAATAAGGTTAGGGCACGTGACTGTTGACGAGATTGTAGGTTAGGGTTTGGGTTAGGGCTTGGTAAGGGTTGGGGTTCATGCTAGACCTGTTTACATCTCGTTACTTGGCCGTTGATTGGACCGTTGCTGATCGCTTTATACCCACAACCCGTTGGAGCTATCATAAAAACCCAATGCTTCACACCGAATTTGGAAAGGAGTCTGTCAAACCCTGTGGCGCCTCTATCAGATTCAAAAAAAATTGAAGCCAAATCTGTTAAAACCATAGTCTCTATCGAGTTCACAAGGTTTTCGGAAAAGGAGGAGGGGGGATAACTGAAACACGGACAGGGGCGATGTCTAGTATGTCCACATATCAACTTTAACTTACTTGGATTCACTAATAATAAATTCGCCATTTTTTCTGTAGTCTCCATAGAAACCAGGTTTCCACCATCTTGTTTACAGTAATTTTCAGCCTCAGTCCAGTTTAAAGAAGGAGTCATCATCTTCAGACAGTAATTAGTACCAGAAAACATGGTGTATTCTTTTGATACACAATCAGATCTGTCTGAAAATGGACCTAAATTACTATTAATGCAAACAACCCTATTAAGGGCTAGATCTATTTGGTAAGGCCAACTCAATTTTTGTCAAGGACGCCGAGATGTAAAGAAGTTTAGGACCCGTGGCGAGATTGCAGGTTAGGCTTAGGGAAAGCGTTAGGGTAAGGTCCAGGGTTAGGGTTGGGATTAGCGTTAGCCCTGTTTACATCTCGTGACCTTTGACCGAACTTGATGTTGACCTTATTAAATATACCTAGCCCCCATTTAGCGCATCAGAAATGTACACAGCTGCTAACTGAAATGAAATGAAAGGAAATGAATTGGGGTTTAACGTCCTACTATTCTGCTCCTATGCTGGGCTAATGAAGACGGGCATACGCCATACAGTGTGCTATGAGGGAAATTTTGCCCGGGCAGTGGCACTATCGCCTACTCTTATATCGAATTTCAACTGCCAAGGCTTTCTTTACGTGCATTTCAATGTATACACGGGACCTCGGTTTTCCGTCTCATCCGAAGGACTAGACAACTGTCAGGCCCTCCGTCCTGCATCACTGACAAGTGGGAACCACGCCGGAAAATCTGGATAAACTTTCTCGGCCAATGCAGGGATAGAACACCCGACCTCCAGGCAGTGGCGGCGCCAGGGGGGGGGGGGCAAGGGGGGAATTTGCCCCCCCCCCCCCCCATTAATCTGGCGAGGTCCCCAATGGACTCGCTACTTTGGCGCTCACAAGGGGAATTCGTTGAGGCTCGCATGTCCGTTCCTTCGACATTTTGTTCCCTAGTCGGATAAACTAGTGATCAGGCGACGAACGGTATCTGGGCAGATCTATTTATCTCGCAAGTCCGTTCGTTTGACACTTTACCTCATCGATCAGTGCCTGAAATACTGCCAGGCTGCATTCCCGGCAACCTGTTTTTCAAAATTTTCTGGGGGAGGCCCCCTACGCCTAGTTGAAGCTCGTGCCTTTGCCCCCTTAACCTTGGACTTTGCCCCAGCTTTGCCCCTCCAATCACCGACGGCTGGCGCCGCCACTGCGTCCAGGCTAGCGAGCCAGCGTCTTACCCACTTAGCCACGTGATCCCCCAGCTGCTAACTACTTGAACCTGGAATATAAGCGGTGTGTCCGATAATCTGATTAAAATACAGATCGATATTTCGTTTCGTTTTTGTTTTGTTTTGGGTTTGTTGTTTTGTTTTGTTTTTGTTTTTTGGTTTTTTTTTTGGAGGGGGGGTATAACTTCGATGGCCTACATTATATGAAGATCTGGCAAGTTGTACTTGTAGGTCGTGTCAGAGGTCGTACGAGGGACTTTTGACCCTATGACGTCAGACATTGATTAATCAATCAGCGTTGACGTTTCTAGTGATTTACCCAAACTCCGTGCATGACAGGCAAGAACTCGCCCTAACCCTCACTTCAAACAAAACGCCGGTAATATAACAACTCTTCCAGATCCTAGTGTAGTAAAGACAAGTAAAACGAAATTTTGAACATAAAAAAACGAAACGAAATAGGATCTGTGTTTTAATCAGATTGTGTGTGCGATGAAGATTTTGAATTCATATTGTCATGCAAGGATCCGTTTACGTGTAAGCGAGTCGAGCATCCTGTACCACTTTCAAGGAAATGCCAAGCTCTGATCGATGGTAAGGGACGTGCACTGGAACATCGAGTTCTGGCGTTGTCTTCCATGTAAACAGGCCTTGTGACCAGTGCGTTTTTTGTCAAAATGGGGAATAACCATAAATTTCACGAATATACTGGTCGCGTGTAAGATTGTCTGGTATGGCGAACATTTCCAGCTTTCAATCATGCGAGCCACATCCGACACTAGAACGGTCAGGCGAATAAGCCGCCATTCTGTGCCTCCACATATGAATTCCCCTACCGTGATATGGAGCAGAAACCTGCTTTCATCGGACCAATGGGAGAGAGAGAGAAAACCCACGAGGTTGGACAGGCGACCCTACTCCTTGTAACGTACAACCGGGGATTCGAAACCACGCCAGTTGACTCAATGACAGGCCTTATGATACAGCGCGCACGTGCTAACCATTCGTCGTAGGTCACGATATATAAACAGGGCTAACGCTAACCCTAACCCCAGACCTAGCCCCAACCCAAGACAAAGCCCTAAGCCTTACCCTAACCCACAATCCTCGGCAACAATCACGTGCCCTAACCCTGTTTATATCTCGTGACCTTGGGGAAATCTGCAGGTACCCATGTATCCAGGTATCTTATCTGAAATAAACCCAAACTTACCTCGGAACATTTCATATATAGAATCACCGACACCAATCTTCAGATCTCCTGTTGTTTCTGATAATGGTGCATAATTTGGCGCCAAACAGTAGCATACATTATTTTTATAATACAGCTCGCGCCAATTATACAACTGAGAACATAAAACACTACATTTTATTTTGGTATCAACATCAAAACTTTTATAATATCGTGAAATTATTATTTCTGTTAATTTACGTTTAATCCAGAATGATTCTGATATCGCGCCACATGAAATAAACAAAACACAAATTAAAAGCAGTACGTTGAAACGAAATGCAGACATTTTGAGTTATTTGGTTTCAGTAGTTGCGCCTTTCTTAGTTGTCATTTATGTCTTAATTATTGGTGAAGTTATCATCGATATTGCTGTCGAATATGTGTTTTCCCCGCGTTGTTCTGTTTAAATGAATTGAGCAGTCGTTGACCGTAGTTCATGTAGTAATCCACCCTATGAATTGAGCAGTCGTTGACCTGACCGTAGTAATCCACCCTATGAAGCATCAAAAAGAAGATATTGGAATTATTTCGATTTAGATATTGCTGTTGAATATTTATTTTCTTGATACAAACAATCATAATTTGTGAAATCGATATATCGATCTCTGGAGTAAGAAGCCCTCTCAATATTGATACTGTTGACACTGTTATCATGCTATTAGCCTAATCGATACACTAGTCAATTCTCCTTTTAACTCCAATACCCATATTCATCATTTCTTTACGGTTCTCCAAACACAAGACTTTCACAAACTATTTATAAATTGAACCCACCTGACTATTGATGAAGGTGATGTTTGACGTACCTTTGGTTCGAACTCAAGGTATTCAGGTTCGAATAAACTTTATTACAGTTAGCATAATAATATCACAATCCTTTTCTAATCGGGGAGGGGGTGGGGGCGTTTGATCATTGAGTCAAGTGGCGAGTTTCAATTCACCGGTTGTACGTGACAAGAAGTAGTCAAAGTATTTGCTCATTCAAGAACGTTCTGAATTGACGGAATGGGCACCGTGTGACAAGGAATGCCGATCGAGTGACACGGAATGGTGTCACAGTCCTGCCTGTAGTGTGAGCGACATCGTGACTTACTTACTTAATCAAAAGTTTCAGCTATGGCGATTGGTCAATGTAGAATAAGGTGGGTTGGATGGCCGAATGGGTAGCACGTGCGTGCTGTATCATAAGGGCTGTCATTGAGTCAACTGGCGTGGTTTCGATTCCCCGGTTGTACGTGACAAGCAATAGGGTCGCCTGCCCAACCTCGTGGGTTTTCTCGGGTCCTCCGGTTTCCTCCCGCTGCTAAAGACCCCTATTCTCAAGCGTATTATTAAAATAAAACTGAATCATATGTTAGTCCCGAAATGACCTAGTTTGTGTCGAGTGGACGTTAAATTCCCCCCCCCCCCAACCCACCCCCGTGATCTCATACAGTGGTAAATGCCTTCTTTTACCACTCTCATAGTAGCTAATGATTTATCAATATTAAGTGATAATAAGTTAGTAAGTATCTTTAATGTGGTTAACAATGGCTGTTGGCCATTATGTATACAATATAGGATTCAGATCACTTAAACAGCATCGATTAAACAGCATCAATATTAATGGAAATAATTTCTGTAGACCCTTTTATCACTTAGTATTTTCACTTAGTATTTTCACTTAATGGTATAAATTTAGGTTTCTAACAAAGGCGGGCATTGAAATCATTGCCGTGACACTTTTAAACGCCAACAGAGAGACTGCCATCGGTGGAATAGTAGATTCTTTTAAAAACTAACCATGTGATAAGTGTCTATATTTAATAATATATAGGCTAAATCTCAGAAACTCTGAATCGATGTCAAAGTGTTTGCTCAAATGTCATTCAAGAACGTTCTGAATTGACGGAATGGGCATCGAATGACACGGAATGACAGAATGGGCACCGTGTGACAAGGAATGCCGATGGAGGAGTGACACGGAGTGGAGTCACAGTCCTGCCTGTAGTGTGAGCGACATCGTGACTTAATCAAAAGTTTCAGCTATGGCGATTGGTCAATGTAGAATTAGGTAGGTTGGATGGCCGAATGGGTAGCACGTGCGTGCTGTATCATAAGGTCTGTCATTGAGTCCCCGGGTCCTCCGGTTTCCTCCCACTGCTTAAGACCCCTACGCGGAAGCGAATTATTGAAATAAAGTTGAACCGTGTGTTAGTCCTGAAATAACCTAGTTTGTGTCGAGTGAACGTTAAACCCCATTTCTCTCTCTTTCCCTCCCTCTCAATGTAGAATTGCGTTCTCGTGTTGATTCAACATTTCGTGTCATTAGAAGACTTCAATCCCGGAACATCAAACCGAGTTTCACCAAGATTTTGATGACAAAGGCAATAACTCTGCAAGTAGGATTCCAAATTACGTATACTCAAACAATGCCAGCAAGTCTAAAATAAAAATCTTAAAAAACTAGAGCAATTACCAACAGACAATGTGTCAACCAACCATATTGGTTGTGTTTATGGTCCGATATGCACGAATATCGAAAGGAACCGAGAATTACGTCACAGTTCTACTCCCAAGGCCGGAAGATACAACGTAACTTGATTTTTAAAGATACACGATTGTTACGAGCTAAATATGCCTATTGCAGATCTTTCTTTTGGATTCAAAGTTTATATAAACTATAGACAAGACCATATAGTCAACTCTCTAGGCCATCGGGTGGTCAAGATTTAAATTGATTAGAACATCTGCCAGATAAAATAGTTTAACGAAAAAAATGATAATCAAAAACTCATAATTTCGCGCAAAATAAAGTAATGTTACTGAAAATTTCACCCTATTTTTGTAGCGGAATGACGAGCTCTTTATCTAAATCTTACTCTCTAGACCATGTAGCACCATGGGTCGTCTATCAGGCATGGGGAACGGACCCACGTTAAAAACCGGTCGACACATCCTACGTATGACCAATGCACTATATTCTTACTACATATCATAATAGCCTTGTGGTCGTCTAGTAGTTTTTATTGTCTTCTTTGCTTTCTTTTCACGTTGTGTATGTCTAATAGTAAGTGCAGGGGGACTGCACCACACAAAATTTACACAAAAACAAATACACGGACAGGACATCATACTCAGGAAAACACAAACATAAAGACAATTCAAAAAAAGTGAATGGATCCGGGGGCTAGCCGTAAGCGTCCACTGCGCTGTACAGTCCCGGGTTAAGACGTTTATCTTCTTATTAGTTAAGACGTTTGTCTTACCACGAATAACAATGCAAAAGTTCAGTTCTACATTTTATATATCAAGCTGGATACATATGGTACAATGCATAAGAGATTACAATAAAGCCATTCTCTCAATCTCATTCCACCCAGACTCGCTGAGCCTGCTGATAGAAATTGCTACATCTTCTCCATCTGGAATCCAGCGGCTGTCTGACGAATGGTCAGAGATATGGCTTTGGGTTTGGACCTTCAATTATCTAATTGGTCAAATATGACGTAATTAATTATAGTGATTGGTTAATTAGCCCAATGGCGTCGAAAATCACCCTTATATGGACAATGGAAACTTACACCAGAAGTGTCACACGTGTTATTTTGTTATTAACCTAGAATTAAATGTTTACCAAATTATAACTGTTTTTATGTGAAAGTTCGTCACTCAGTATTTGAGTGCATGAGATCTGACTGATAGAATGACCAATAATTAGATAAAGATACAATATAATGCTATTATTAATTTAAAGTTACAATTTCATATTTTTAAGAGTATATCATAGTGAGAACTGCCAGCTCTTTATCTATTCGTCCATTATTACTCTTTAACATTCCATGGGACTCATACATATCTAATTTAACATATCAGATGTTCGAGATTTAAAAAGTTAACGATCAATAAGTTAATCGAAACACTCATAATTTCGCTCAGAATAAAGTAATTTGAATGATGTGTTCAATATATTAATTTGTCATTATCTAATTTTGAACTATTATTGCGAGAACGACAAACACTTTACCATAATGCATCTTTAGAAACGAGATAATTAAAAATATTAAAAAATATCTATATCCCTTTTATTTAGTATTCTAAACCTTTTATAATAGCTTTCATATTCTTTTGTTTCACTTCATGCATTTCTTAAACTCTCCAAAACGTCAAAGGGAACATTGGAATCCAATTAAAATCTTTTGGTACTTGATGTTGATGATAAATAAAGGGAATATTAGATGTAAAATAATCTATATGTGATACATTTAATATTAATTATTTTATTTGACGTTTTTCTTACTCTTTGTTTCAATTCAGGGAGTCGGGGTTTGCACGTAAAAGAACCCTTGGCAGTTGGAACTCGAGATAACAGCAGGTCGTAGACTTAATGCCAGGGCAAAATTGACCCCAGAGCACACTACATGACTTTGCCCGGCTTTATAAGTTCAGTCGGTGTTGGCATTTCATTTGTTTCAATTCAAGTGTAATTTTTAAGCCTTGAAATTTCATGGGATACCAGTTTAGGTTTTCTAAAAAGCTGAAGTTGGGCTTCACGAAATTGAAGTTTTACAATTGTGCGCTGTTTTTGTGATTATTTCTCTTCCATTATTTGTTTGAATATTCTTAATTAGCGTTTGCGTGGTTGGATGGCCGAGTGGTTAGCGCGTGTGCGTTGTATCATAAGGTCTGTGTTTGAGTCAACTGGCGTGGTTTGGATTCCCCGGTTGTACGTGACAAGGAGTAGGGTCGCCTGTCCAACCGCTTGGGATGTCTCCGGGTCCTTCGGTTTCCTCCCACTGCTAAAGACCCCTACGCGCAAGCAATTGAACCATATGTTAGTCCCGAAATGGCCTAGTGAACGTTAAACCCCCATCTCTCTCTCTCTCTCATACGCACCGAACCACCGTGGCTCCCTCTTTATAGCGCAAAAATACAACAAAGTGCACTTCCCTTTATATCTTAAAGTACAACTGATGCAACTCCATTGATATCTGATAGATCAATTCCAAGATTCTACAACTAAACAAAGAAAAACTACACCTTTAAAGGGGGTTAATCACTTCTCGTTGGCACCTAGAAATGGACACAAGTAGGTCGAAAAGCATATATACTAAGCAGCAAAAGAAACGTCAGGTTGGTATGTTACTCTGAATAGACGCATTGCATAAAACTTGCCAATTGTTTTTATTGTATATTTGTGACCACTTCTCCAACTTTACCTGAGCAATAAGGCTCATTCCCAAACACAGAATTGAACACAGGAAATGTTTTCAGAAACGCAACCTGACTTCTGAGATGGTAATGTGTTCTCCATGAGCTCCATGATTTTCATGTAACTCATGCTGCACGTGCTGTTCACCGGGACCAGCCCTATAAAATGCACCCCCATACCTGGTTGAATCATTCAGACTACCACGTCAGCAGCATGCCACGACTCACGACAGCTCAGAGGAACCAGGCGCTTGGAAGACTCGACGCTGGCCACACTGCCCAAGCCGTTGCTGATCACTTCCAGGTCAATGTTTTAAATAAATAAATTTAAATAAATTAGTGCTAGTTAACCTATCTGATGCCTGGGCCGGATAAACACCCGTTCCAAATTATTAGATTTGACATTGCCATAACTCTGGCAGTAATTATCGAAATCGCTGAAAATCAATAGGCTTCTTCGTTTCGTCTCATGACCTTAAACACCGTGTATAAATTTAAAGTCAATCAGATATTAACTTTAGTCTTTAGAGCGTCCATAAGATTTTTTGAAGTGATCAAGGGCCATCGATCTGGCAGTAATCATTGGAAATCGCTGAAAATCAATAGGCTTCCTCGTCCCATGACCTTAAACACTGTGCATAAATTTAAAGTCAATCGGATATTTACTTTGGCCGCTAGAGCGTCCTCAATATTTTTTGAAGTGATCAAGGGCCATAACTCTGGCAGTAATTATCGGAAATCGCTGATATTAACTTTAGCCTCTAGAATTAGGTTCCGATTTGTTGTTCGACTTCCATTCATAATTAAATCAAACAATGGATAATCGAGACTATGTTTTTTATCCTACCGACTTTAGTAATGATGATCGAGGCTAGAGTCAATATTCAATCGCTAAAATTTCGGTTCATAGAGGATCAGTATGAATGATATTTTCAGTAAATCCCCTTTACATTATCTAGTTTGTAACTATTATAGTTAGAACTGTCAGCTCTTTATCTAATCTCCCATAATGTATCTTTAATACGAGATATTGGAAAATAAATTGACGAAGACAATATATAGAGGATATTTGTCGTTTTAGAGTGAATAACATATTTTATTTCATCGAGAAGCAAGAAAACTTATATTTTCACGAATGCGTAGCATGAGTGAAAATAGAAACGTTTTCTTGCTTAGAGATGAAATAAAATATGTTATTCACGACAAAACGACAAATGTTCTATTTATTTTATGATTTTTCAATCATTTTAGGTAAAAACAACATGGACTACTTTAGCCAGTGGAATAACACTTTTATTTCACTGATAAAACGCGGTATTCCACTACTGATTATAAAATAAAATGATAATATCCTAAGAAATGTTAACACGTGAGATTGTTCCTATTGTAGGGGCGCTTCTGCACTTAACAATAAATATATCGACTATAGTCGCTTACAAACATCATTAAACTACGACCGCTCGATGATTTTGCTTAGTTCAGAGAGACAGGACTGACTACCAAGAAGACAGCAATTACTGAAACCAAATGACTCAAAATGTCGGCACTTCGTTTCTACGTGCTACTTTTTATTTGTGTTTTGTTTAATTCATGTGGTGCGATAACACAATCATTTTGGATTAAACGTAAATTAACAGAAATAATAATTTCGCGATATTACAAAAGTTTTGATGTTGATACCAAAATAAAATGTAGTGTTCTATGTTCTCAGTTGTATAATTGGCGCGAGCTTTATTATAAAAATAATGTATGCTACTGTTTGGCGCCAAATTATACGCCATTATCAGAAACAACAGGAGATCTGACGATTGATGTCGGTGATTCTATATATGAAATGTTCCGAGGTAGGTTTGGTTTTATTTCATATCTTTACGGGGATTGTTGGGCTTTAGCGTAGTAATTTCCTGCAGCAAGCAGACTGTCCTATGAGAGAAATTTTAACATTATTATTATTATTATTGTTCGATTTATATAGCGCTTCATTACACGTGAAGTGTTTCTAAGCGCATATCACAAACATATACTTCAAACACACAGAAACAATCAAAATCAGGAGAACATAATTAAACACAGCTGCCTGTTAGGCGCTATTATTCAAAGGTTTATATCCAACAAATCAACCGGCTAATCTCAATATTGAACTCAGTCGAGTTATTACCTGATGAACACCTACACCAAGTAGAGTTCAAAAATAAAAACGAAGTTTAAAAGAATCAACTTCATTAACAAAAATTAAACAATCAAAAACTAAACAGATAAATCAAATTCAAACGAAACAAATAAAACAAAGAAAATGAAAAGAGCAGTTCGTTACCATTCTACATTAACAAAATAAAGGAAATCAACTTGTGAAAATTTTTTCAAAAAATAAGAGCAAAGTAACACTTATGTTAATAATTATCAAAAGGAACCAAGATCTTAATGATAAAAACATATATTTAAAGTTTCATCCAAATTGGATAAAAACTGTGGTCTCTAGAGGGTCCACAACCTTGATATACCATATCTATCTATTTCTTAATTAATTACAGGTATGTAAATTATTGTACCGGTAACCTAAATTTTATGAATATTGTTGTGATGTTATGACGATGTGCAATGCATATTGATATTGTATTTACCTGTTTAAGATGAGTCAATAAAAATCTTTTCTTAAATATTTAGCACCCATGCCATTTAATTGGACATACGGTATCCGAGACTTTGTTTAATATTATCATAGCAATCCAATAGTACATGTACCTATGCCTATTTAAAGATACATTCCTGTGTACAAACTGGGTGATTTATGGTATTATAATAGGACTAAACACATATTCAAACTAATTAATGACATCGGCTCTTATTTTTTGATCAGATCTGAACTACCAGACTCTTTTCCTTACTAAGGGGGCACGAGACGGGAGATTTCACTATTTATGAGCCAGCGCTAAGCTCACCCAATTTAATTAAAACACAGATCCAAATTCTTTTCGTTTAACTTGTCTTTACTACAAGAGGATCTGGAAGAGTTGTTATATAACCCGCGTTCTGGTGATGTGAAGGATTAGCCAATGAAACGGCCTGTTACGGCAAGTTTTTTGGCGTGAGGTGCATGGAACTGTGGGTACACCACTAGAAACGTCAACGCTGGTTGATTAATCAATGTCTGACGTCATAGGGTCAAAAGCCTCTCGTATAGTCTCTGACGCGACATTCCATTACAATCGGTCAGCTCTTCATGTAGTGTAGGCCATCGAAAGTATTAAAAAAAACGATTCACCGTGGTCTCTGAGGAATGAAAGATAGACAGGGATGAATTGTAATTTTATATCTCGTGTGAAGGTGAAATTTGTAACCACACAGTGGCGATTCTGTTTACCTTTAATCGAAGTTCGACATCCACGGAATCTTGTACGTTCGTTACTACTGCATACGGCTAAATCTATTTGTTAAGGCCAGTTCAATTCTTGTCAAGGTCGCGGTGATGTAAACAGGGTTAGGGCACGTGATTGTTGGCGAGATTGTAGGTTAGGGTTGGGGTAGGCATTAGGACTAGGTCCAAGGTTGGGATTAGCCCTGTTTACATCGCGTGACCTATGACGAAAAATTGAGTTGGCCTTATCAATTAGCACTATCCTACTGCATTTGGTACTTCGATATGTAAGGTTTCTCAAATATTTCTTTCTAATATGAACCCAATTGGAACAGAACAGTAGGACGTAAAACCCCATTTTTCTCTCTCCCTTTAAAATCCGCTATCCTCACACATCGGGCTCTAAACCCACGTTTGTTCTAATGCTATTTTGAAATCCTTACTTTCAAAATAAGTTGGAATTGGTCCGCCATAACGAAACTAACACTTGATTAGCATGCGGTATTTTGTTTGCTTTAGAATCGCAAAATTTGGCTTGAGAATTCTGTTGGATTATTAGAAATTTTCGTCAGATTTCACGAGAAATGATTCTTTTTGTTGAACATAGAAGAATTATGATGAAAAGGAGAAAAGTAGTAACGTCAAAATAGCAGACGTGAGGGAGATCGGTATTAGACCGGTATTATATGTAGGTCTAACTAACCGATTATGTAATATTTTATTTTAGTGCAAACTCTAGAATAATTTATTATTTTGTTAAATATTTCGTTGACCCCTGTCCCTATAAGAATCAATTTTAATTTTAAGTAACCGTCATACAATGCACAGCGTTACCCTTCCTTTCCATCCAGTTGGATGCTTGGGTCACCAAAGATGAATAGGCTAAGTAGGGTTATTTGTATTAATAGTAGGCCTATTTTACGTCCATTTGCAGACAGATCTGATTGTGTATCAAAAGAATACACCATGTTTTCTGGTACTAATTACTGTCTGAAGATGATGACTCCTCTAAACTGGACTGAGGCTGAAAATTACTGTAAACAAGATGGCGGAAACATGGTTTCCGTGGAAACAGTAGAAAAACAAGCCAACGTATTACTAATAAGTCAAAGTAAGTTTATTTCAAATTTATTAATACGGCACGCCTCGTCCTGCCCCACCACCATTCGCCTTCAATTGATTTAGCATAGTAATGTTTCCAGCTGCATCTGAACTGGGTTTAAAGACAAATGTGTTTATTCAGGATGGAGGGCCCGACAAGGACAGCTGTCTAGTCGTTCGGATGGGGCGAAAAACCGAGGTCCCATGTTACACTTTGGCCGTAGGCCGTAGTGCCGCTGTCTGAGCAAAATTACCCTCATAGCACACTGTATGGCGTATGCCCGTCTTCATTAGCCCAGTTCGGAGCAGAACAGTAGGACGTTAAACCCCATTTCATTGCATATGTGTTTACAGCTACATGGGTTTCAGGGAGAACGCTAGATGGGAGACGATCGAGAACATTCTAGCACATATGACGTCATGTGTGGATTGTGGGCCAGAGTTGGGGTTAGGGCTAAGCCCTGTTTACATCTCGAGACTTTGGCGAAATCTGCAAAATACCGCAAGCGACACCGAACGAAGACCATCAGCGCCACCAACACCAAAAAAACAGCGAAATCAACTTTGTATATAAATCTAATGTTTTTTATGTATTTTTATAAAACTAAGAAATATCACGAACCAAATTTGCATCATCCTAGGTCAGTGCTTATGTAGAGACTTAACCTCTCTCCCAAATTCTTAAACCTTACCCACAATCCACATATGACCGATGACGTCATATGTGCTAGAATACGCATGACCGTCGCCGGACTAGCGTTCTCTGTGGTTTTATCGTCATCTCTCTTTATTTTTCAGATGAATATTTCCTGGTAGGTGGTTACATACCGATCGGGGCTCCAAATCAGGAATCATCCTATCGATGGATCAGCAGACGTAATGAGCCCATCAACACTACATTCTGGAATACTGGCGAACCCAATAATATGGGCGTTGAGAAAATCGTACAGATGTACCCAAGTGGACATTTGAATAACAGACCATTAACTTATGAGGAAACATTTATGTGTGAAATTTTAACCTTTAATTAAGATACATTTCACCTCTATTTATATCGTCATTGGGGAATCTTGGATATGTTTTTTGTGGGGGCCAGGAAAAATGGCATGATTATTCCGTGGACTACTACGCATCGATGTTAGATATTACGTCCCCATTCCAAAATGGCGGCGATGACATCTTTTTTGGCCAATAGACTATAGTAGTACGCTCGTACTTATTGTTGAATAAACCGCACCTAAAACTTTGGACTAAACAGTATTTTTTTTTCTGCTAAATTAAGCATGCTTAACAAACAGAGAGAAAAAGAAATGGGGTTTAACTAACTAGGTCATTTCGGGAAAAACATATGGTTCAATCTTAATTCAATAATTCGCTTGCGCGTAGGGGTCTTTAGCAGTGGGAGGAAACCGGAGGATCCGGAGAAAACGCAAGAGGTTGGACAGGCGACCCTACTCCTTTTCATGTACAACCAGGGAATCGAAACCACGCCAGTTGACTCAATGACAGGCCTTATGATTCAACGCGCACGCGCTAACCATTCGGTCATCCAACCCTCCGATTCCTTAACGGCCGTTTTATTAACCAATAGTTACCGCGTAACAAAAGATCAAAACAAGATTTATCAAAGCTATTATTATTTTCAAATAAAAATGTATTAGTGCAACTGTGTGTAGCACTCACTACCCGTCGGTCGAATATGGAAAGCAGTGCCAAAGGCTTACCACATTCCCGGCTACACATCTTTTGTTTTCGGCGTTGATCGTCTATTGCAACTCTTTACTCTTGGACTTTGCGTTATTATTTATATGCGGCTACCCAATCAAATATACATGTATATCAGGAACCAATCTGATTATATCAGAGATTCTATTTTGTATCGTTTTTTATAGTTCCAATTTCGTTTTACTTGTCTTCACAACACTAGGATCTGGAAGAGCTGTTATATAACCTGGGCCCTATTTCACGAAATTTTAACTAAAGATAAAATCCAAATTTTAGAAGATACTTCAGTTTTGATTGGCTAAGCACTAAAATCAATCTAATATTATCCAATCAAATTACTAAAATTTGGATTTTATCTTAGTTAAAATTTCGTGAAACAGGCCCCAGCATTCTGGATGGCGTGAGGGATTAGCCAATCAATGAAACGATCTGTTACGGCGACGTCATGGCGTGCGATGAACGGAACTGTGGGTAAACCACTAGAAACGGCAACGCTGATTGATTAATCAATGTCTGACGTCATAAGGTCAAAAGCGGTTCGTAGGACCTCTGAAGCGACCATCCACTACAACCGGCCAGATCTTCATGTAGTGTAGGCCAGTGAAAGTATAAAAAAAAACGATACGATATATAGATCTGTATTTGAATCAGATTGATCAGGAACAACAAGGCTTTCTAATATACGTGTGAAATGAAATGAAATGAAATGGGGTTTAACGTCCTACTGTTATGCTCCGAACTGGGCTAATGAAGACGGGCATACGCCATACAGTGTGCTATGAGTGAAATTTTGCCCGGACAGCGGCACTACGGCCTACTCTTATATCGAATTCCAACTGCCAAGGGATCTTTTACGTGCACGCCAATGTGTACACGGGACCTCGGTTTTTCGTCCCATCCGAACGACTAGACAGCTTTTCTTGTCAGCCCCTCCGTCCTGCATCACTGACAAGGGAGAACCACGCCGGAAAATCTGGATGAATCTAATATACGTGTTTATACCAAAGCCCGATGTAGACTTCTGGAAAATACAGTCTACATAATACTTACAGATACATTATCGGAGATTAGATAAAGAGCTGGCAGTTCTCACTATTACTTAAAAACTAGATAATGTAAAGGGAATTTGCTGAAATTTTCAGTCAAATTGATCCACTCTGAACCGAAAATTTAGTGATTGAATTTTGGGCCTAGTCTCGATCATCATTACTAAAATCGGTACGATGAAAAATAAAAAAAAGGGTCTCGATTAACCAATTTTTTATTTAATCATGAATGAGCGTTGAGCAGCAGATCGGATTATAACCCAGTAAATATCGCCGGCTAGCGACATCGAGGGTTGATTATGGTCTGGATAAGTTAATTAATGTCTAATTAATAGACATTTCAGGCCTAAAAGAAGACCTGCAATTGGCAGATTTGGCTCTTGCATAATGTATGTTTAAATTCATTCTCACAACTCCAATCCTGCAAAGTCTAGACTTCTTGAAAACACTACGTTATGGGTTTCTCGGTATCTCAATGGCATCTGATTTACTAAGCCTGATTTTCGTCTTTTATATTTCCCGATTAATTAGCTGATTGGTTAATTACGCCCAATGACGTCAAGAATTAGCCAAATATGGGCTTTGGCCTTGACTGCCAACCGGGTAAATTTCCTTTTAAAGTATACAATATCAGTTTGGGAACATAAATATATGTGCTGGGTTGTTTTTTTTGAGGGGGGGGGGGGGGTTGCTAACCTATGGGGCACTCCAGTATATGAAAATACTGTATCATCCATTGCGTGACGTATATTTAATAAAACCTGTTTACGAATTTGAAAACAATATTTAGATCGAGGCTTTAATATTGTTACAGGAATCCCCCCACCCCCTCCCCTTAGTTCGGGGCTATAATATTGTTACAAGCGTCTAAATATAGTTCAAAATTTCGTTTAACTTGCTTTTACTACACTAAGATCTGGAAGAGTTATTATATAACACGCGTTCTGGTTGAAGTGAGGGATTAACCAATGAAACGGTCTGTTACGACAGGTTCTTGGCCACAGGTACTTGAAGGGATTAAAGTAAAATTTCTTACTAGTGTCTGACTATATATGTGACCCGATCCCACGAAACCAGGCGCTTATCGCCCAACTTCATTTTAGACTACGGGCACAAAAGCATAAACTGTATGCCTTCTTGTTGCTGTGAACGAGCCGAACTCAACTCCAGATGATACGACAAATTAAAAAGAATTGCATTTTTGGAAAGCTTAGTCTGCGGACTATTCAAATAAGCTGCCAGCTCTTTTTTTTTTTATAAAAATGACCAAGAGCCTGGTTTTGTGGGAGCATCTCACATATTACAATCGTAAGAAAACTCGGCTATTATTCTAGATATATTTAATTGACACGTATACCATTACTATCTCCCTGATAATGTCTACTACATCGTTAACACAGTTCATCGCGTGCATTTTGCATACCGACAGTTCATTGTCCAATCACGCTATTTTACCGACATTTCGCCTAATAGTTTGGATGCAGCTATGGCGGGTGTGGCGCCAGGCAGGGTAAGCTTACTCTTCCGGACACCTGTTACCACTGTTTGTCGTGTATTTTGTACACGAGGAGCAGTCCATTTGCTGATTACACTATTTTGCTTTAATACACTATTTTTTAGGACTTCGAATTCTGTCTTATGGTTTGGATTGTTCGTACTTGGTTTTATTTTATGTTATTTAAATCCCTTCAAGTGCCGTGTTATTGGCGTGCGACACACGGAACTGTGTGTAAATCACTAGAAACGTCAACGCTGATTGATTAATCAATGCCGGACGTCATAAGGTCAAAAACCGCTGGTGTGACCCCTGACGCGACGTCGCACTAGAACCGGTCAGATCTTCATAAATCACTAGAAACGTCAACGCTGATTGATTAATCAATGTCGGACGTCATAAGGTCAAAAACCGCTGGTGTGACCCCTGACGCGACGTCGCACTAGAACCGGTTAGATCTTCATGTAGTGTAGGTCATCGAAAGTATAAACAAACAAAACGAAATATAGATCTGTATTTATATCAGACTGTTATAGACATGAAGTAGCTGTCAATATGGGCCTACCTGGTGAACATGCCAATAGTATGATTAATCTATTGTCTTATTTACCATTATTTTATTTCTTATATTGTAAATTATTAGATCAATGTTTGTTTATGTCAACACTTGATCTCATGTCAAACACTTGATCTCGACGAGTGATTAGAAGTAAATCCATACACATATCTTGTTATAGTACATGGTACTTTAAAGGACAATATTGGTGCCAGTCATTATCACATATCATGTTATAGTACATGGTAATTTAAAGGACAATATTGGTGCCAGTCATTATCACATATGTGATAAAACTGTTTAAACACGTTCCAAATATAATTTTAACACAGATATCATTGCTACAATAGATGCGTAATGAAGGTTTCAAATAAAGGAAGTGACAAACGCAAAAGGAAAACACGAGTTATCGTTGTATATAACTGACTGAAGTGACGAGTGATAACAGATAAACGGGCGAATTTCTGCTCACTAATAATTCCTTCGAAGAAAAAAAGTTGTTAATGTGAGACTGTGAGAGGATATCTAACAATTCAAAAAAGTAAAAGTAATTGAATGTCACTAGATGAGAGAAAACTAGAAATAGTCCTTGCATTCCCTTGTTTTTGTTCATTCTATACTTTATAAAAAAATATGATAATGCACGTCAAGTAAAATAATTAATATTAAATATATCACATATAGATTATTTTATATTTAATATTCCCTTTATTTATCATCAACATCAAGTACCAAAAGATTTTAATTGGAGTCCAATGGTCCGTTTGAAGTTGTGGGGCGTTTATAATATGCATGAAGTGAAATAAAAGAATATGAAAGCTATTCAAATGCTAAATAAATCTAATATAGATTTTGTTATACAGTACTGTTAATTATCTCGTTACTAACATAGTATATGGAAAAACAATCACTGGTTTATTATACACAAGCAAAACGTTTCGATAAGTATGAAAAGGGGTTTAACATCCTACTGTACTGCTCCTAAACTGGGCTAATGAAGACGGGCATACGCCATACAGTGTTCTATGAGGGAAATTTTGCCCGGACAGCGGCACTACGGCCTACTCTTATATCGAATTCCAACTGTCAAGGGATCTTTTACGTGCACGCCAATGTGTACACGGGACCTCTGATCTTCGTCCCATCCGAAGGACTAGACAGCTGTCCTTGTCAGGCCCTCCGTCCTGCATCACTGACAATGGGGAACCACGCCGGGAAACCTGAATGAACTTTCTCGTCTATTGTTTATATAATCTTGTGTTTTAATCAGATTGTAAAACATTAAAACAGGTAAAAACAATTAAACTATTTAAAGATGCACTATGCGAGATTAAGATAAACAGTTGGCACTTCACGCTATAATAGTTAAAAGGAATTGATAATGAGAAGAGAATATATTGAAAATTT